AAAAACTGTCTAGAGGGGCAGTTGCAACAGAAGAAACAGCTAATTAGAACAAAGTGGACCACTGAAGTCACTAGAGGTGCACTGAACCTCTGTGCACATCTAACACGGTGATTACAGGAGTCTTCCGGGATGAAATTATTTAGTTGCTTAAAGGAAACCTGCATTGAAATTTGTTAAAATAGGAGTTCAGGCAGCGTTCGATTTGCCTGATGTACACTAAGACGTGTGGTTGGTTTTTGTTTTGTTCTGTGGTTTCCCTTCAGTACTTTGAAGTATAACAAGAGGGGAGCTGGGGGCGGTGTGTGACTTCACAGTTACGAGTGCTTCTTGCTTTTCCAGAGGCCCCAGGGTTAGCTCCCTCGCCACTGACCTGGGGTGCTTCACTGTCACCTGGAACTCAAGCTCCAGGGCATCCATCCGACACCCTCTTCTGGTCCCTGTGGATGCACACATGCGCACATGCACATAACTAAAAAGTCAAGTAGCCTTTCGAGGTTGTGGGTGTATGTTCCTGTGTGTTCTGTCTGTCTACACACATCTTTTGGTACTTAGGATTGAACCCAGGGCTATTTCTTGGAATCACTGTACTAGTCTCTACCAGTGAGCCATTATCAACCATATTACTCCTTTTTTTTTTTTTTTTTTTGAAAAACAAGCAGTGTTTGTGACATTTTCTCTGTGCTTAGAAGTGGAGGTCAGGAGACAGACTGGGAGTTAGTTCTCTCCACTGTGTTTATTGGTCCTGGGGAGTGGAGCTCAGGTCAGGCAAACCTTTATCTCCTGAGCCATCTCGTCTCACTGGCTGCCTTCCTCCTCCTCCTCCTCCTCCTCCTCCTTTTTCTTTAAAAATTTTCTTTTGTGTGTGTGCATGCCTGCTCGTATGTATATGTAGCACATGTGTGCATGGTACCTGTGGAGGTCAAAATAGGGTATTTGGTCCTCTGGAATATGGTTGTGAGCTACCATGTGACTGCTGGGAACTGAACCTGCGTCCTCCACAAGAGCAACAGTGCTTTTGCTGCTGAGCATTCTCCAATCCCAAGATGTATTTTTAATCATGTGTTTTTGCGTATCTGTGTATGAATATGTGGACATGGGTACCTTCAAGGCTAAAGGTTCAGATTCCCTGAGCACTACTTAACCACGAGCCATCTCCAGCCCGCTGCCACTTAGGCTTCATGGTGATTAAAATCAGACTGCTCTGAGGGCTATATGTATAAAGTAAATAAGAAGTTGCTTCTTTTTTTTTTTTTTTTTTTTTTTTTTTTTTTTTATTTAATGTGTGTGGGTGTTTTACCATTCTGTGTTTCTGGTGCCCAAGGAGGCCAGAAGAGGCCCGCAGATCCCCTGGAACTGGAGTTACATGGTTGCATGCCTTAATGTGGATGTTGGGAATTGAACCTGGGTCCTCTAAGCAGGCAGTGCTCCTAACTGCTGAGCCATCTCTCTAGCCTGTTAATAAAATTTTTTGTTTGTTTTGTTTTTTTAGACACATTTCTCTGTGTAGTGCTGGCTGCCCTTGAACTCACAGAGATCCACCTGCCTGTGCCTCCCAAGTGCTGGGGTTAAAGGCGTGCGCATCACTGCCCGGCCTGTTAATAACATTTTAAAATGGTGTTAGTTTACTTTGTCCTCATTTTTTGTCTGTGAAGCCTTATCCATGGTATTTTACAGGGATGATTTAATGCTGTTTGTCTTTGGTTTCTCCCCAGCATTTGACATTGTGCAGCAAAGAAATGGTGATGGAGAAGCCCAGTCCGCTGCTTGTGGGGCGGGAGTTTGTGAGGCAGTACTACACTCTGCTGAATAAAGCTCCCGAGTACCTGCACAGGTAAACTAAGACCCCCCTTCATACATGTCTGTCCGTCTGTCTCACAGTTGATAAGACCTTTGCAAACAGGAAAAACACGTCATGTCATATGGTATAATACATTCATTCAGTTTTACACACAAATGCACACACTCTCTTTAGTATTTCATGTTTCATTATTCTAATGTGAGGCTTGACTTGCTAAAGGGTTCTAATGAGCAATTGGAAATCAATGACTTAAATGTATCATTTTAAGTTCTCATAGTATTATGAAAAACTGCTATACCCGCGGAAGATTTTTATTTCTTCTCATCTGAAAAAAAAGGTATTAGCTTGTGAGACACTATTAGTAGCCTTGTTCACTGTTTTGACAAGAGTTAAACATCTGTAAGCTGAACTTTTCCAAGAGGTTGAAATGAAGTGTGTGTAGTGTGTAGTTCTTGCCGAGTCCCGTTCTTTTGACTGTGCTTGTGCAAATGAAAGGGGAGACACCTGACAGACAGACAGATAGATAGCTAGCTGTCTATACGATGCTGCAGGACAGTTGACAATGAATCCATCCTCCTTACCTCCTGCTGAGAGCCTGTTTCTGATTCTTCACCCCTGCACCATCTCTGGCCCCGTTGCTGCCCAGGTCCTAGCTGGGCACTCGGAAGGCGGACGTGGCCCATGTTGATATTCTCTTACGTGGTGTGCGAGAGGCTGGGTCTGCTGTTGCTGCGACCCTTGCTGTGAATCCTTTCCTTTCTCCTGTAAACTTTGTGCTGGTTTTACTCAGGATACTTTGGTTATCTCAAGTGTCATACTTGACAGCTGAGGCTAATAACTATTAGGAATTAGGACAAATAAGTGAACAAGCTACCCACAGCCAGTTTCCAAGCTTCAGTGTTGTACTGAAACAAGAAGTGTATAAAATATTTTAATTCCCTCAGATATTTGGAAG